GGGTAGATTATTGGGGTTATATAGGAATAATGGAAAAGAAAATGGAAACTACTATATCATAATAGGGTATATGTTGGGGTTATAGTCCCCTTAAGTAGATAATATATTGGGGTTATATGGGGATATGGAAAAAGAAAATGGAAACTACTATTTAGGGTTTAGGGCTTATAGGGTTTTGTTGAGAAGGGCTCAGAGTATAGGTTCGAAGGATTACGGTGCTTGGGGACCCAGGGTCTAGGAAGTGCAAGGCTTTCAGGTATAGAGTGTCCTAAATTACTGTCAATACGGGGTCCTATGTTTGGTTTCCCATTATAATACGGGGCCCTAGATAAATTTCCCCCATTTTGGGAACAGTAATTTAGGGAAACTTCCAGGTATAGAGTATAGGGTTTGGGGCGTCGGGATGTTGATGTAGTGTAGGACTTGGCAGTTCCGTGGCATGTCAAAATCGTGGCTACCTGCACGGGAATCTCTGTGTTTGCCTTGGGGAATTTCTCAAAATAGGGGGATTCTGGCACAAAAGCGCTGATTCGGTGACGCCCTAAACCCTATAGCATGTCAAGTCCAGCAGGCATCTCTCCGAAAAGCCCTTGGTAAGCCTACCACAGACCCTGGTTCGAAAATGAATGCTTTCCTACAGAATATCGAGACCCTACGCCCAAAACCCGAATTACAGGCCCTTAAGCCCGACACTCAATCCACAAAAAGCCCATGAGTCCATGTTCCAACTCGGATAGGCTTATAGTCCCCCTTGAGTAGATAGTATATTGGGGTTATATGGGGATAATGGAAAAGAAAATGGAAACTACTATTTAGGGTTTAGGGCTAATTACGGTTATAGTCCCGCTTAAGTAGATAGAATATGGGGTAGATTATTGGGGTTTTATGGGGGATTGTCAAAATTATGGTCCCTTTTTGATTCCCCTAAATTAGGCCCCGTATTAGGCCCCGTATTATAATAGGGACCCAAAAAGGGACCATAATTTTGACAGTTCCCCATATAGGGAGAAT